GGGAAAGAGACAGAACATTTACTTGAAGAAATAATTACTGAAAAATTCCCTAACCTGGGGAATGAAATAGACATTCAGATTTAGGAAGCCCAGAGGATTTAAAAAAAAATACACCTAAAGAGACCCATATCAGGGCACATTATAGTCAAAATGTCAAAAGTTAGGAGTGCTTGGGTAGCACAGTCAGTTAAGCTCCCAACCCTTCATTTTGGCTCAGGTCATGATGTTGCGGTTTGTGGGATTGAGCTTTGTATTGGGCTCTATGCTAACACAGCAGGATTTTCTCTCTCTCTCTTAGAATCTTAAAGCAGCAAGAGAAAAACAACTTGTTGTATATAAGGGAACCCCCATAAGACTATATGCAGACTTTCAGCAGAAATCCTGCATATCAGAAGGGAATGGCATGATATATTCTAGGTATGGAAAACAAAAAATGTGCCAATCAAGGCAAGGTACTTGGCAAGGTTCAATTGAAGGAGAGATAGAGGGTTTTCCAGACAAGCAAAACCTAAAGGATCACCACCAAACTGGCCTTACAAGAAATATTAAAATAACTTCTTTAGGGTTCCTGGGTGCCTCAGTCAGTTAAGCATCCAACTTCGGCTCAGGTCATGATCTCACAGTTCATGGGTTCGAGCCATGCCTTGGGTTCATGCTGACAGCTCAGAGCCTGGAGCCTGCTTCAAATATTGTGTCTCCCTTTCTCTCTGCCCCTCCCCTGCTCATATCCTGTCTCTTTGTGTCTCTCAAAAATCAATAAATATTTTAAAAAATTTAAAAGGACTTCTTTAAACTGAAGGGAAAGGCACTTATTAGTAACAAGAAAACATAAAAGTAAAAATTTCATTGGTAGAGGCAAATATATAATAAAGGTAATGGAATCACTTACAAAGTTACCATGAAGGTTAAAATATAAAAAGAGTAGAAATAACTATAATTACAATAATTAGTTAAAGGATACACAGAATAAAAGTATGTAAAACATGACATCAAAAACAAAACATGGACAGAGGAGTAAAAATGTATGGCTTTAGTATGTGTTCAAACTTAACTTGCTATCAACTTAAAATAGACTAGTCTGTATACAGAGATTGAGATATGTAAGCCTCATGGTAACCACAAAGCAAAAACTTACAGTAGATATACAAAAGATAATGAGAATGGAATCTGAACATAACACTGAAGAAAGGTATCAAGCCATATGAGGAGAGTGAAAAAGAAAAAGAAACAAAGAGGAACTACCAAAAAAAAAAAAAAAAAAGCCAGAAAACAATGAACTAAATGACAAAAGTACATACCTAGCTATAATTCCTTTAAATATAAGTGGACTAAATTCTCTAATCAAAAGACATAGAGTGCCCATAAATGGATGAAAAGGTAGCAAAGCCTGGGTAGCTCAGTTGGTTAAGTGTCTGACTCTTGATCTTGGCTCAAGTGATAATCTCACAGTTTGTGGGATCTGTGCTGACAACATGGAGCCTTCTTGGGATTCTCTCTCCCCCTTTCTCTCTCTCTGCCCCTTCCCTGCTCTCTCTTTCTCTCTCTCTCTGTCTCTCTCTGCCTCACAAAAATAAGTAAATAAAAACTTTAAAAAATGGGTGAAAGGATAAAGATGATGAGGTATATACATACAATGGAATACTACTCAGTCACAAAAAAAGAATGAAATCTTGCCATTCGCCACAACACAGTTAGACCTTGAGGGTATTACAGTAAGTGAAATAAGTCACAGAGAAAGACAAACCCTGTTTGATTTCACTTATATGTGGAATCTAAAACACAAAACAAATAGAATAAAACAAAATTCATAGATGGAGAGAACAGATCAGTGGTTGTCAGAGGAGACAGGGATGGGAGTGGAAGAAATGGGAACAGGGGGTCAGGAAACACATATTTCCAGTCATAAAATAAGTAAGTCATGGGAGTAACGTATAGCATGATGAATATAGTCAATAATACACTACTGCATATTATGTAATTTTATACAGTAATAGGGAAATGAGACTCATTGTGGTGATCTTTGCAGTGTGTACCAAAATCAAGCCATTATGGCGTGCATGTAAAACTAATATAATGTTATATGTTAATCATACTTCAATTAAAAAAAGAAAATGGCGCTATTCCTGAAATTAAATCAAAGACACATGCACAGATGGCTCTAACTCTTTGAATTCTCCATCTTCACCTCTCCCATTATTCTATGAAATTACGCTTAATGCTGTGCTATGCACCCTAACCACAAACATTCATTAATTCTGAATTTGAATACAGCCATGTTGATTGTCTATAATGTAGACTTAGTCTTGTTTGTTTACAATAAATAAGTATAGATAACTTCCTGAAATGCTTAGGCCTCGTCTTCAACATGTTAAGTTTAAAATACACATCTCCCTAAATGTAGTGAAACACACATATACACACTTAGGAACAATATAAAATACACTTATTTTACTGCCTCCTGCCACACTGTATTAACACCTCTTGAAATCACTTAAATTCCCTGAATCTGTGAGTATAATAACCACTCCTCTTTGTTCCTTACATAGTTTTTGGAAAGAGCAAATAAACATACTTGAAAGGAAGCTGAGAATATGAACTAGACTACATGAACTGTTACAATTATATACTATTCATATATCACAGATAGAACCAGTTTCCACAGTAGAAAGGCTTGTCCACTTCCACTGCCTCAAAAAGATTGGCAAGCTGAGCCCCAGCAAGGGTTAATAATGTGCAGTAGGTCACAGAGCTAGTTTGTGGCAAGGGCTTGTCCTCCTCTTCCCCACTGTATTCTTTTCTGGCTCCTCAGCCTCTACCTAATGCCAGTACATTTAAGTGGGTACCTGAATTTGGCCCAGGGCCTTTGCTCTTCCCATCAACATAAACTCTGTAGGTCACTGTGGCCACTCTCATAGCATAAATACCTCTCCAGCCTCATCTCACTGCACTGTGGCAACACTTGGCATCTTTCCCACATTCAAGCCTCAGAAAGGCTGTTCCTGTACCCAGAGTGAAATGGAGAGAGGGCTCACTCCACACACCACTTATCAGAAGGTTCCTGACCCCTCACCATCTGTCTCTGAATTCCCCCATCAGAAGCCTAGCATATCTCTAGGTTCTAAATACAAGACAGAACTGTTTTGGTTTTGTTTTTAATTTTTTAATGTTTATTTCTTTATTTTGAGTGGGGGGAGACAGGGCACAGAGGGAGAGAATCCCAAGCGGGCTCCACACCACGACGTGGGGGTGAAACCCACATACTGTGAGATCACAACCTGAGCTGAAATCAAGAGTTGGATGCCTACCCAACTGAGCCACCCAGGTGCCCCCAAGGCAGAATTGTTTAACGTACCATTTTTAGACCCAGCTAAGGCCCAATGCATAGTAAGTAGGAGCTCAATAAATAGATGTTTAATTGACTTGAATTATGAAAACTACATTTTTACTTTCTACATTTTCTTGTTTACATATATTGCAATAATAATAATAAAGTAATAATTGCAATGGAGAGGAAAACATAGTCCTACACTGGAAAAACTCTGTCAGGGCACCCCCATGAAGGAAAGACAGATGTAGAAGATCTCCCCACTGTGCTGCAGGCTTCACTAATGAGATAAAAAGTCTTCTAAGGAGCCCAATTCTGGTTCTCTGAGCGGGAGCCTGACCCTCCCCCAGGTACATGGCTTCCCCTGAGACACTCACAAGGAGTGCCTTCACTCTCCCCCATTCCATTGAGCTCAGAGCTCAGAGGTGGTTTGTGTTCTCTTAGCCACTTTTGACCATTTCTAGACCATTATTTATTTATCCTTAGACACAAACACAAAAACCAAATCCCATGCTGCCGCCACCCTTCCTTTACTTAACTTCCTTCGCTCTGTGTTGCCTCCTCCTTCCTGGCCCTGGAGCCCTTTGGCACATGGGTCATAGTTATCCCCCCTTCAGTGAGACATTGGGGCTCCCCCGACAGAACCTTCACAATACAGCTGCAAAGTCCCTGCACTTCTGTGGTTACATAGGTCTTCTTTTCTTCCCCGCATCCTATCATCCCCCAGACAGAGCTCTGCCATCATACACTCCAGTGGGCCACTCTTTGACCTGAGTTCTTATGATTCCATCTCTCCTTCATTGTTCCCACCACCACTCCCTTCGGGCTCTCAATGACCCTGACCTTTGGCCCCGTTTGGTGCCCTCCCTCTCTTGGTCACGCCCCTCAAAGCCCACTTGCTATCCAGCCCAGACTTCAAGGTATGTCACCTCATACTTTCTCTAGCCAGGACCCTCCATGTTGTCACTCCCCAGCCTTCTTCCCTGTCAGACAGACAAAACCAAACTCGTGTCAGTCCAATCACTTGCTGTCTTCACTCCTGGTCAAAATCACCCAAAAGTGTAGGTTGGCACCACGACAGGTTGATGGCCTCTATCCCTGGCTGGATGCATCTTAGCAATTCTTTTACATGCCCCTGTAGAAACCTGCTATTTTCTCCTCGAAGTGACATACATGTCACCACTCAGTCCCTTTACCAAGCTTCCTCCCTGCACAAAAGTTAAGACCCCTCCTTCCTTCCATTGTTCCCAGCCGTACACAGATCATCAAAGCCCTCTTCAAATCCCACTGGCTACTTCCAAATGTTTTTGTGAAAAACGAAGAAAAGGGTGTACAGTGTAATTAATAAATGAAAATGTGTATTCAGAGTCAACTTTTAAATCAATTTTTAAAGTTTTTATCACCCGACTATATAATCTAACACAAAATCTAAGTGTTTCTACTTTTGAGTCTCCCCCTAACCTCTGAACCCTTCTTGGCTTTGTGCTTTCTTGGGGCATGTTCCCCTGCTCCCTGACTCTCTCCTAAATTCACTTGTCTATGAACTTGAAGGGAAGCTAAGAGTAGTTACAATCGATTAATCACAAGTGACTAGTTGTGAAAGGCTCCAGGGCTTGTGGGAGGTGTGGGGGAAAGGAAAGAAGGCAGAGGCCGCGCTGTGGATGCTCTCTCTTACCGCATGACAAAATTTGCTTCATCTATTTGACGGCCACAGCCACTCTTCTTCAGAATCCCACCATTTCCCACCACCGCGCATTTCTTCAAGGGCAGCTGGAATGGGGTTGCCTAGCAACAGAAAACAAGGCGGGTTTTCACTGCAGAGAACACACAACCGCTCACAAAATCATTGTTTATAGCAGATCCGTTGGAGGAATTTGACTGGAGACTGGGCAGAGCAAAAGAGCATGTAGAAAGAAAGATGCCAAGAAGTTTGTAAGGAACATACTAGCCTGTTCCTCTGAAACCAAGAAAAAAAAAAAGAATAATCTCCTGAAGTATATTTAAATATAACATATGTTGTATCAAATTGACCATGTACAGAGTGTCTCCTAGGGAAAATAGAAAAATCCAGGATTAGTTTTATTGGTATTAAACTGTGAACAAATTCAAATGAATTCTATCCCCCTATCTGAATGCAATTTCATTCATTCCTACAATCCTCAATTCCCTCCACAAATGTTGCTGAGTGCTTCTCATGCTAATTGTCAGGGATAAATACAAAGATACAAAAAGTCACAGGCCTCAGACTCACAGCCTGGGATGTAGGGAGACTGTGGACATATAAACATACGTAATAGATTTTAACATAATGCTGAAATTGTTGTAGAAAAGGTATGCTCTAAATGATATGGAGAATCCCACACAGGAGGGAAAAGACAAATTTCTGCCAAGCCAACTCAGGGGAAAGCTTTCTCACTCAAGATGAATCTTAACAGGATGAATAGGATTTTGCCAGGCAGAGAAAGCAGTATAAACAAAGGCACAAAGTATGCTGAAAGCAGATGCTGTGTTTATGAGAAAATGTACACTTTCTGTCGAGAACTTGGGAGGCACTAAGGGGCAAGTGACTTGGGCAAAGCAGACAGCATGTGACTTTCTTCCTGCAAACATTGAATTGGAGTGTACAGAAAATGTTCAGTGTACCTGTGTTCCCTGATGTGCTATTTATAGTACCAGGGACTATGAAAACCTAGCAATAGCCCCTGAGAGTGAAATGCGTCATTCAGTGTCTTTTAGCTGGGTCAGCAAGAAGCCCCAGCAAAACGCCGCATGGCTCCAGTGGCACAATCAGTTAGTGCGCGGTACTTATAAGAAGCCCCAGCAAAATGATCTCCTGCTTGTTAAAACAATGCCTAGTGGTTGGAGTTCTTTGGGGGAAGACCTCACATCTATATAACTGGTGCATAAAATAACTATTCTGATATTAAGTAGGCCATTTTGGATGTATGCAAAGCAAATAATATGGACTATATCAAAACAGTAAATGGAAAAAATACATGAATACATAAGGGCTTCACATAGGCATAAAGTAATTAAACCAGAAAAATAAAGTTCCAGGAATCTGTGTGAAGCTGAGGTAGGCACTTGCAGCACAAGAAAAAAAATTACTTCTTCTATTGCTAGTATGTAAAAGGAACAGCCAGAGCTATGGAAATATAGCTCATAAAGACACAGTACTTAAACTGTAAAGTCTAGGCATTTGCCAGCAGACAGTTAAGAATTCCCTACATGACTCCAACAGAGAACAGTCCACGGAACCCCAGAGCAGGGTACTGAGAGGAAGGACAGACAAAAGCCAGCACTTCAACACTTCCAGATTGATCCAGGATGATACATGCCGTTTTTCTCAGTCACTCCTGAGGAGGGTTTGAAGTCAACATTAGAAATACATTGGTTAGATCAATAATATGTTGGGAGTAGAGTTAAGCATTATGCTCAAATTAGCTATTCATTTATTCCACAAGTATTTACTGAGTACCTACTATGTGTCAGGCATTGTTCTGGGTGACAGGGACACAAGTGTAATAATCCCTGTTCCTATGGAGCTTACACTCTAGTGGGTAAACAGATAATAAGTGAAGCCAAATGAGTAAAATGAACAGCATGTCAGATGGTGACATGGACTGTGGAGACAAACAAATCATTGGCATGAGACAGTCAAGAAATGCTTTTGAAGAACTGCAATTTCTTCCTGGGGAAGAACTCACAGGAGACAAGTAAGCACATACCTGAAGATGAGGTGGTGAGCATTACAGATATCTGTGAGGAACTGCTGTGTAGATCTTGAGGAAGGAACACTCCTGGGGTATGAATGGAAGAGCAAAGACCCCATTGTCTGGAAATGAGTAAACAAGAGACCGGGAAGTAGGAAAGGAAATTAGAGAGCTAACTGGTGGCGAGGTTAGGAAACAAATTCTGTAGGGCTATGAAGATTATGATAAAGACTTTAGGTTTTATTCTAAGATGAAAATCAAGTCAATGTAGGGCAAGCAAAGGAGTGATGTTATGCCATATTTTGGAACAACCACTCTGCTGCTGCATGAACAGGCTAGGAGATGTCATGAACAGAAAGGGACCAGTCAAGAATCTCCTGAAACAGTAGACTAGAGATTCTGGTAACTTGGACTAGGGTGATGGCAGTGGGGATGGTCAGAAGTGAGCAGATTCTGAAGATATTTTGGAGGAAGAGCTGACAGAATCTGCTGATGTAATGGAATTAGAGTAACAGAAAAGAGGAATCAAGAATGATGCCAAGGGTTTTAGCTAGAACAGCTGTAAAGAAGGACTTGACATTTGTTGAGGTATACAAGATTACAAAGGAGCAGGTTTTGAGGGGAATGATTTGGAGTTCAACTTTAAATATGTCAAGTGTGAGATCCCCTTTAGGAATTTTCTTTTAATTTTAGAGTTGGGGGAGGGGCAGAGAGAGAAATTTGAAGCAAACGCTGTGCTCACCATGGAGCCAGTTACAAGGCTCAATCCCATGACCCAGGGATCGTGACCTGCACAGAAATCAAGAGTCAAATGCTAAACCAACTGAGCCACCCACGTACCACCCCCTTTAGGCATTTAAATGGCAGTGTCAAGCAGGCAACTGAAATATGAGAATATAGTTAAGGAACTGTTCTTTCCCGGATAAAGATAGCCAAGAGTGCTCAGCATATAGTATGTAGCTAAAGGTAGGAGACTAGATGGTGAAGAAGTATTGACAGAAAATAGAAGATGTCAAAGACCTGAATGCTGGGACATTCCAAAAAGAAGACAGGAGACTGAGGAGAAATCAGTAAAGGAGACTAAGGAGTAGCCAATAAAATGGGAGAAAAAACACAGGAAAAGTGTGGCATCTTGGAAGACGAGTGAAAAAAAAGGTGTCTCAAAAATTAAAGGAAAGCAATTGCAGCAAATACAATAGATTTGCAACAATGAATAGAGAGATTAACAAATAGATAAAGTAAGATAACAGCTGAACATTGCCCTCTGGATTTAGCAACATGGAGGTCACTTGCTAACCTTAGCAAGGACAGATTTGGTTCAGCAGTGTAGACAGAAAGCTTGATCTGAGTTAGTGAATTATACATGTTTATTTGCATATCTATTCGTACATAGCTTATTTGAAAAGTGTGGGCTCATTCATGCTCAGTTAATATTTAGTTTGCCTTGTAAATACCAGTTTGAACCCCCCTCATTGTTAAGAGTTCTTGAACCAGACTGACTGGCAACTCCAGGCTTCCAATTAAGAATGTGGGCACAGAAGCAGCAGCAGTAGCTGCCACAGCAGAAAGCTAGGTGCCACCTACCTCCCGACTTTCAGTTTGTGTGATTGTGTGATTGTAGGGCAGGCTGTCCAATCCCTCAGCGTTCCACTTCCTGTCTCTGAGGAGGGATAATATTGTGCAGGATTATGTGAGATGACGTACATGAAACATCCCATCAAGCTACTGGTACGGTGATCTACTCACCTTCCTTCCCTTCTTCTTCCATCCCTTTCCTCTTCCCAGCACAGTTCACTGACTTGTTCAAGACACAGAATAGTGAGATTCCATGGGTTTGGGAGAACATGAGAAAATAGTTCTTTATCTAACTCCATCTTAACAATTGGAAAGTGTAACTATTATATTCATGCACTATAAAAATTTTAAAGCTCTTAAACAGAAGTCTAGGGATAGGGGGATCCATTTATTTGTTTCCGTTAATATTTGCTTGCTACTTCTTCATTTGGTTAACTGCTAGCCCTCACACCAGCAATTTCATTTCAATAAATACTTCTCAAGTGCCTAAGCGCACACTCTTCTGCGCCCTGGTAATACATGAGTGAACAGTACCAGCTCACCAAAGCTTTACAGATAGGAAAAACTTAATTGAGAAAATACTGTGGATTTTTTTAAAACTAATTGAAATAATACTGTCACTGTGCTATTTTAGGTACAGAATATCTCAGCTTGGCAATGGTCAGTGCTTACCAGAATGATATGTGAACACGATGTTCTCCTTTTGGGATACAGTACGTAGAAAAAACTTTCGGTCATCCATTTCCAAATGAACATTACTATTTTGGCAAGTATTTTATTATTAAGGCATTGCCTCCTTTCTTTTCAAATGTTATCTCCTTACATCCCTGACATAAAATGTCCACTGGATCTGAGAATACAGTATACTATAATACTCCTCCTGCTAACCTTAAAAAAATACTACTCTATGTCCCTCAATATATGAATGGATAAAATAAAGTCATTGTATGTATATATATAACAGAATGTTTTATATATATAATATTATGTATATAACATTATATGTATATATAACAGACTATCACTCAGCCATAAAAAAGAATGAGATCTTGCCATTTGTGACAATATGGATGGACTTAGTAAGTATATATTAAATTAAATAAGTCAGAGAAAGACAAATATCATATGATTTCACTTACATGTGAAATCTAAAAAACAAAACAAACAAACAAACAAACAAAAAGCAGAAACAGGCCTATAAATACAGAGAACAAAGCGATGGTTGCCAGAGGGAAGGAAGGTTGGGGGATAGGCAAAATGGGTGAAGAGGAGTGAGAGATATAGGCTTCCAGTTATGGAATGAATAAGCCCTAGAATGAAAGATACAACATAGGGAATATAGTGAATGGTATTGTAACAGTGTTGTATAAGGACAGATGATGATGGCATTGTATAGGGACTCTCAGTGAGCACAGCATAACGTGTAGACTTGTGCAATCACTATGTTGTGCACTTGAAACAAATACCACGTGTCAACTGTATGTCAATTAAAAAAAA